GTACAAATCATCTGGATTGGCAGGGCAAATCATCTGGATTGGCAGGGCAATGAAAGATTTTAAATGATAGAATGTAGATTTATTAAGTAGCTTCCAGGCCTTCCAGAGGGAATTGAATAGAATTTATAGACCTAAATTTTACAGATATTGGTAAAAAAAGTAAGGGTTTCATGCACGTTTTAACAGGAATTTGTGTTTTCGCCCCTTATTTGAAAGTCCGGAAAAAATTTTTTCGACCCCCCTCCCGCTCACCAACATTTTTGGGAGAAATAATGGCCAAAAAAATATTTGCTGCAGGACATCATCGGCTTTCGCAGGGCAATTCTAGCAGACACCCCCCTAATTAAAAAGGGCTAGTTTCGCCCCTGCAGGGCTGGATCCAGCAAGGTTTTTCTAGGGGGTGCTGGGTGAGCAGCTGAGTGTTTCTTTATAATTCTTTAGGGGGTGGTGGGAGAGCATTCAAATTGATTGGCTTCCTAACAACTCAAGCGATGAAGGTGTGAGCTCCCTAGGGGGTCCAGGGGTATGCTCACAGAAAATTTTGAAAATTAGAACCCTAGAAATGCCATTTCCTGTGATATGAGCATTGAATTATAAGCTTCAGTTTGACTTCAAAAAAGGAAATTATGCCATATTTCTGAATTTGCACCCCCCTTGCACCCCTGTTGACCAAGGCCAACTGGGGTGTGCACCCTTGTGCACCCCCCCTATAAATCCACCCTTGTCATGAACTCTCATTAGCTGTTCACCGATTAGGGTGAGGGGCCAATGCACTGGTTAGATTCAGGGGGATAGGGCTGGGTGTGGGCAAGGGTCAGATACTAAAAAAAAGTGCACCTGTATGATGATATACATCCTGAGCTGTCAATGACTGACCATAGTCACGGCGGGCGCATGTACGCTCAGCGTACCTATCTTTATATTTTACACGTAAGCTGTATACCCAAAAAGTGTGAAGCAGCTTTTCATCAAGGAAAACGTGACAAAAATCACCTTCGCGAGGCCTTGTCATTAAATGACGATTATTTTGAAATTCGGTTTTGAAGTGTCAAACGCAGACAGTTTCAGTTGTTTGTAATTTTTGAACGAATATTATCATGAAATTGGAAAAATCTCGTTGATCGTAATTTGTGAAATAAAACTTGCTCGTTAGTACGTAGTCTCCCTTGCAGCCGCTCTGCGACCAGTTTGCATCAATTGCGCTACCAGAGAAATTCTTAAATGTGTACGAGTTTTCGGTGAAAGCATTGATATATTTTCTCTATCTTTATGTAGCCTGCGTATGCGTAGCTGGCGGTTTTTGGAGGTTGGGAGTTGGGCGCGGGCAGTGAAAAATCAGGGAGGGGAGGCGCGGAAAAGGCGAACGTGTCTTACTCCCAACCCTTTAAACCGCCAGCTATAATCTTTATCGTATGTTGAGCACTCTTCACTGCCACCCTCCTACATCTCGTGAACCAAAACATTATTTAGTTTTTGCTATATTTTTAATTCTTTAGTTTAATTTAGTTTAGTTTAATCGATTTACCACAGATTACATACGAAACATATTACAGACAGTAGTTAGAGTTTGTGGCAGGGAATGAAAACAGGACAAAAGTTACAATTGACATTCAATCCCTTTACAATGAGACGATACATTAAAATAGATTTACAATAATTTGTGCATACATAGTTATCGCGTACTTCCAGGGAGGTAATATGCCTCTAGTTTAGAATGGTATAGCTTAATTAATTTATTTAGATTTAGATGGAAATGAAGAACAGTCCTTTAAGAGGCAAATCATTTCAAAGTAATGCAGATCAAATAAAATACGACTTCCGAAAATAATCCTGTTTGTGCTTGATAGTAAGGTTGTAGTTACTAGGATGAGAATTCCGATAAGGCGATACAAAAGTATCTATTGTTTGCAATCACGTGACTTTTCATCCAAATGACGGGCAATCAAACAACTTGTGGACGATTTTTCTCCTATCAGAATGGTTGTAGCGTTGAACGGTAATTCATCTTTTGAGTCTTAAACTGTCTCTAAACTCGATCAATACATTAAAATAGCCTTTTTTTGTTATACCTGCCCGTCGACTGAAATCCCAAAATTACGTCATTGCTAACAAAAATATTTCTTTTTAATTAATATATCTTTTAATATTTTTTATATTATAGTTTGATCAGTATTAAATTTTACTATTCACCTGTCGTTATACATTCACACATTTCCAATCTGGGCACGTACAATCACTGTTGGCAATTTTACGCGAAAATTGAATTTTCACTTCATCTTTATCACAATATGAACCTCGCCTACGGCTTGGTGTATGTACGAACGAAAAACGAACTCGACTAATATCCTACAGTCCGAATTTCTTGCTCAGGCAATAACATATATACGCCCGGCTGTAGCGATTGTCTGCATTAAAATAAATAGAAAGCCTAGTAATGCCTGCAATATACACGAAAATATTTAATATGATTATAATTATGTAATTGATGCATTTCGTTATATGCTCTACTGACGTTTGACGTATATACAGTTCACGTTCGAGCGGTTGACGTTGCCCTTGAGGCCTTTAACGTCAAACGGCAAAAACCAAACGTCAAGGCAAGGTTAGCCTGGGTAGCAGGCGCTATTTAGGGGGAGGGCGAGGGTGGGAGAACGGGGGGGGGGGGCGAAAGGCGAGAGAAAGAGACCGAGGAAAAATGGGAGGGGCGAGAAAGAAATAACTCCCATTTTTCCTCGCTCTCTTTCTCTTGCCTTTGCCCCCTCCCCCCCTAAATAGCGCCTGCTACACAGGCTAAGCCAAGATTTATGGAGCTTTTACAGAGTTTCCAAAATACGTCAGTTTCGAAAATTGTTTAACACCTCCATAAAATAGAATATCCAGGCATGCGCAACTGGCTGTCACTATTGTTATGCCAAATGTTGTGTGCATTCTTCAAAGGCCCATGCGTTCTTAATAAATTTCATCTTGTGTTTTAGGCTCACAGTAAAGATTTTCCTCACCTCATGTTTTATGGACCTTCTGGATCTGGCAAGAAAACAAGGATAATGTGTGTTTTGAGAGAGCTGTATGGTCCTGGTACCGAGAAACTAAAAATTCAACAACAAACCTTTACTGTAAGTATTTAACCAATCTCATAGACATGTTAATTAATAACAGGAAATGAGCCAGTGATATGTACACACCATGGTACTTAATGTGGTTTGCTATGTTGGGGGCTATAGGACTGGATAAAGTTTGGTTAAGCCCAGGGACAGGATAAAGTTCCATCAAGTCTGAGCTGGATAACATTGTGAAAGGGGAACCAAGTAGAAGATGGGGGCCAAAAAGTGGATGGAGGCCAAATAGAGGGTGGTTGCCAAATAGAGGATGGGGGCCAAATATAGGGTGGGGGCTTGTTTTGTGACCATTTCTTGATTGGGGGTTAATTAGAAAGGGGATAAAATGAGCCTAAATAGAGGAAATTCGGCGATTTGTTTTGTTTTGTCCCTTTTGTGGAAACACCATGTATATTTATAATTTATATTTTTAAATAAATATATACGTAGTGTTTCCACAAAACAGAACAACTGTAGTAAAGCATGATATTGACCTGCCAAGCCTACAAGTTCAGCGAATTCTCTCCCACTACACAACATGTAAATTAATCTATACCCGTAGTATAACTTAATATACTAAAAGTAATGTTTCTGCTAAGTTCCATCTATATACCTAAGTCCGAACAATGAATTCGGTAGCTTTCCGTCGATGAAGAAAAATATGTGGTTCTTGTCCATGTTGGCATGAATATGTCGTCCTTGTAACATCAAGCAGAAGAACGAACAGACAGATATTTTCGAGGATAGTTTGTTTTTATTTAATACTTTTCTTTATTTTTAGACACCTTCAAACAAAAAAGTTGAAATTTCAACAATTGCTAGTAACTATCATATTGAAGTGAATCCAAGGTAAGTTTGTATATTAATCAGTATTATTATACATTTGAAGAATAATAAACATAGTATTAAAATACTAATGTTTATTATTCTTCAAATGTATAATAAATTCCGCATATCACAAAAACCTCATCCAATAATTGTTAACTATATGACATCTATAACAATCATACACTTTTGCGAAACGCTGGTCGCTGGAGGTTGTTATTATTTTGTAGTCTAATATCCTGCAGCTGTAGATCAGGTTCATATATTATTGTTAAATTATACTTAGTGGACGGATTTTTTGTATATGGAATTTTTGAACGTACATGTCTAATATACACTTTAAGACGTAACCAGAAGCAGTTGCGAAAAATGCAACTATACAGGCCCTCTGCTAGGAATCAGATATATACATGAATCTGTGGTTGATGCTCAGCAACTGCGCCCTGTTCTGTAGCCAATCTTGTTCTGTAGTTCACTTGGTTAGAGTACTGCATCGCAGGCGCAGGTTGGGTTCCTGCCAGTGGGCCTATAGTTGCATTTTTTGCAACTGCATGCTCCTGGTTAGTTCATAAATGTATAGAAATTTACTTTCGAAAATTCCATCTTCAAAAAGCCCATCTACTATTAGTTCAAATGAACGAGTTGCCCAAAAAATCTCTATATTTCAATTGTATTTGCATATAGTGATGCTGGAATATATGATCGAGTTGTGATTCAAGATCTCATAAAGACAGTAGCGCAGTCTCATCAATTGGATTCTGGCTCACAGAAAGAATTTAAAGGTTAACATAACGAACCAAGGCGTCGTGTACAATGACCTCAATATATATCTAGAGTCAGAATTTGCATAAAGAAAGTGTAGCTAAAGATGGCGGAAATTGACGTCCAGTGCCAATCCCTTTTCGTGTTTTGACTTCGATTTGAAGAATAACCCTATGCTTTTATAAACTGATAACTTGATTAGCGATACGATCCGTTAGAAAAACTGGAATTAGCTGCATGCATGCATGCATGGAAACATTATATCAAAACTGTTTACGACTTTCGTAGATTTTGGACGTCAATTTTCACTTTTCTCATAGGACGAAAGACTGAAGTTGGTCCTCCAAATATATATAGAGCTCGCAGGTCATGTATTGCATAATCATATCAACAACATCAGAAAAAGGTGCATGGAAACTGGAAATTTAAAGTTTCGTCTGCTTATGATATACGAGCAAACAAGTGTGCCGTTCAGTTGACGTTTCGAACAAACTTCCTTTTAAGGATGTTTGCCCACTATCCCAACAATTTCCAAATAATGTTATACTGTTTCTTTTACAAATATTTAAAGCAAATATTTTAGTGTTGGATGAATCTGATCCAAAGACTTCAAATTGAAATATTTTTACTTCAAATTTTTCAAAGACTTCAAATTGCACTCGTCCTTCGGACTCGTGCAATTTTGATCTTTGAAAAACTCACTCGTGCATGTTTTTTCCAAATTGCACTCGAAACCATACTATTACCTATACGAATTAAAATAGTAGTCATGATATTTTTTGTTTGTTTCTTTGTATAGTGGTTCTCCTTACGGAGGTTGATAGACTCACGAAAGATGCGCAGCACGCGCTAAGACGAACAATGGAGAAATACACGGCAACGTGTCGTTTAATACTTTACTGTAATTCAACCAGTAAAGTGATTCCTGCTATCAGGAGTCGTTGTCTTGGAATACGAGTCCCTGCACCTTCACATACCGAGGTTTGTATATAGAGATATTAACATTGAATACGATAACACAAAACTAATGTCACTACAATAATTATTAGAGAGACTCAGATTGGACTTTCACTACTGTTACCACATTAAGGGATCATGAACCAATCAGGTGCATTTAATCTCCCCGATTAACCAATCAGATGCGCACAGAGCGAGTGAGAGGTAGCGGTAGTCAAATCTGAACCTCTTTAATTATTCTATGCTACGATTGCCCGCTGGTCTGGTAGGGATGGAATTGGTTGGCGGTTAAGATGCATCAGCATGATCCTCTCCGTCCCCAATTGCGATTTGTCACCTGCCTGAAACGGGAAATGATGTAAGAAACCAACGATAAGAAACTGAGCTAATTACCAGGACATCGTTCCCTCGCCGATCTTCTAGCTACTAAGGCGCGTCCTGGAAATGGGGTGGGAGAAATCTGGGTGGGAAGTTCGATCAGCAATTGTCTGGCAACCGATGATGTATTTACCAGAGTTGTCAAGTGTTATTTTCTGCTGGTTGAGGAACGAAAGGGGCGGAAAATGTTTTTTCACACACTGCTGGGGGACTGGGTCAAGGGTGGGGTTCAAGGTCCTCAAAGTCACTTTTTTGCTTGCTTCGTGCTAGCCTGACCTGTGTCCCAAACCCTATTGGCCCTAGTAGTGGCTAAGTTATTATGCAGTGGCAGTAGTGCTAACTGGAATTGGGTTCAGTCTAACACGTGATAATTAGTGAGTTGCAGTTGTTTGTACGGATCCATTTATTGTAAATACGAGTTATTTTGGTTGATTAAAGGTCAGGCTGCCTTGCGTGTGCAGCATCCCTCAGCGGTGTGTGAGAACAAGTCTTATTTTGCAAGTCCATGTAAAGTCGCAAATCATTTACTCCGAGTAGCAAGTCAAGTCACTTTGTCTGTGACCAAGTCAAATCGCAAGTCATTTTGTACAGTTCTTTCTACCATGAACAAGGAGTCGCCCATGACAATGGGTGATTGCAGCTATAGACTAAATTTTGATCAAGGCAAGAAGAAGGAACTCCAACACCACAGCTAGATAGATAGAGCGTCTTAGAATGAGTAAAACTGCAAAGATTGGAATTGCTAAATGTTGTAAATGAAGAAAATATAGCCCTGTGAAGTTCGCAAATTTTGTATATATTTGTATTACGCGCGGTAAAAATACCCACTTTCGGCTCAAAAATGGTTACTTTTCCCGCGCTTAATGCAAGTATATATACAAAATTTCCGTATTTCACAGGGCTATACAACAATTCGCAACCAAACTTTGCAATTTTACTCATTTTATGATGCTCTTTCCAGCTATGGTAATGGTTTCGTTCTTGTCTAGATCAAAATTTCGTCTATAGCTTTCGTCTATATCACATTATATATTCATATACGATGCATTACAAGCTCACAGTCATACTGCATAACTGCATGCTATATGCTAATTTGTCACAGTGCATCGATGAATTTCCAGCGCAAGTTGTAGAAAAGTTAATTTTTACTAGATATTTACGACTTTATGTTTGACTTGCGTTGGTAACAAGTCATTTCTTGCAAGTCCAGTCACAAGTCAATTTCGGTTCGAGTCCAAGTCACAAGTCGTTAATCTGCATGATTAACAAGTCAAGTCACACGACTCGAGTATACAACCCTGGTATTTATACCCATTATATGTTCATTATTAGACTTGCTACAAGTCAACAACCAATACCATTCTTTAAAAATGTAGTTCACTATTTGAATACCATCAGGACTATACCAGAAACGAATCTTAGTTCCTTGTTAACTTCTTGTTATAGTATACCAATGAAATACAGTGAAGGTCGCTTGGTAATCAAAGAAACTGGGGAAATTTCCCGTCAATAAGTTAATGTACATTTCCGTTTCAGATTGGCCAAATCTTGCATTATGTGTGCAGAAAAGAAGGACTGACATTACCAGATGAACTGGCTCAACGTATTGCAGAAAAATCAGGACGAAACCTGCGAAAAGCTTTGCTTATTTGTGAAGCTTGTAGAGTACAACAGTAAGTATTCTATTGCATGTTTATTTAACGAGGTTGAGCAATGCCGACCAAGATTAACAACTAAAGAAGAGCAATCACGGAGCCTCG